CAAATCTTGCTCTTGGAACACATCCCTTGTCTGGCCCTGTGGCTGTGCAGTTACTGGTGTGTGAGACAGACACATTAGTGCCTTATCATCTGGGCTTCTACATACTCTTGAGTCGTAGTTTGATCTCATTTAAACATTACCTGAGATAATTTTGGACCAAGTTGTGTTTCTGATTCTTTTAGAAGTAATATGAGATTGTGTTTAAAATTCCATTGTAACCCAAATTTTCACTTTTCTGCAGAAGGCAGMCCATATAAGAACTCTAATTAGTGAATAAGTAGCTGTTTTCCTCAGGTATTTTGCACCACCCAGAATGCCATTAATTATGATTATTGATGCCATACGTTMATGTAAGAACACTTTATAATGTTGCTAAACAACTGGATGTTGAACAGAAAGGCATGAATTAAACCATATTTGTAATGAATTACGAGATATTTTTTCACAACACAAATTGATGAGGTTGTGAGCTTTTGTTTTGGAAAGAAGCAAATCCTTCATTTCATGGACCTGTGAAGTGATAAATCTTTGGCAGGATATTAAAAAGAATCCAGTAGGTGGTGCACAAGGCATAGGGGAGACAGGCAATGCTCTGGAGACCTAACTGCCACCTAGAAACTGTTTCAATTAAAGAAAAGTCATCACAAAGAGTTAAAAGTAACCCCAAAATTAAGTTTAAAATCATTGATGAAAAACCCCAATGAGAAGTCTAGGGTGCAAGCAAATTTAACTTTGCCAGTGAAAGTCTTCTTGCACTTTTATGTAGATTCAATGACTATATCTGGAAGAAAWCCAGATCTTACTGCTAAAAAGAAAAAACCTTTTGTCCCAAAGCCTGCACAGTACAATATTGCTAGAGTAGATCAGGGTGAGTGTGAACTACCAAATACCTAATGCATGACACGGAGCTGAAACCCAAAGATCACATCCATTTCTCCTATCACACAGCAGGAAGGAAGCACAAGGGCTTGTGGATCAGTGTCCCTGTTCCCTGTTTCCACTGCAGGATATGTGTCCGTTATATCCAGTATTGGCTCAAGACACTCTTTGGTACAGCCCTTGTGCATGTCTTCCTCCAGAACCCTACCTCCAGTTATTAGCCAAATTCCCTAAGCCATTACCTCCCTGTGCCCCTGAAGGACTCTCACACACTGCCTGTTAAGCAAGAGGCAATTTTTGGCCAGCCTGCACAAAACTCAGCCACCCACCAAAGGTACACAAATTCTAAACACTGCAGCCTTTTCTTCAGTAAAGACACTATAAGAAATTTCTATGACTGTTCTTATGTTGGTCATCTCCTCAATATTCCAACTTCCATTTCATAAAATGGAGACATTAAGCATTGTTTTTTCTGACTTACTGTCTCTGTCATATTTTACCACAGTTCTGGATGTGACTACTAATCCACATTACAGCTTCAGAATAGGGTTTAAATGAAAGACAATTAYGTATTTGAAAATTTTCCAACACCACCTTGAGAGAAAAAAAATGAAATTTAAAATACTACATTGTATGTAACTTGTATCTTAATTAGAATCATAAAATAACTCAGGCTATAAGGGATTCTGCATGTCCTCAATTGTCCAACTCTTGCTTAAATGATCTCTCTAACTTCAGTGTCAACAAAGCTGCTGCAGTGCTCTGTTCAGTCATATTTCAAAAGTCATCCCTWAGTGCTTGACCAGTGGGAAAAAAATCCTTCCCTTACATGCAGCTGGAATTGTGTTTGTTGCCATGGAAGTGTTAGCTGCCTCTTGTCATTTTACTGTGTGTATTCGTTAAAATCTGGCTTCATTTTCTCCATATGTCCCCATGTGGAAGACAGCAATTAGATTCTCCTGTTCCCTTTTACCCGGCTCTTCTCCAGGGTAAAAAAACCYGTATCTCTCAGTATATAGTATATATTCCAACCTCTACCATTTTAGGGGATCTTCTCTGGACTCTTACATTTTATGACCTCTCTTTYACTGGGGAACCCCAGAGTGGAATAGAGTACTGCCTTGTAAGTGTTAAATAGAGAGAAATAATTTCTTCTCTCAATGTGCTCTTGTTAATAGAGCCCAGCTTGTATTGTGGTTATGTTCAACTCATTATACAGGAAAAGCCCAAATTTTCTGCAGAGCTGGTACATAACCTGTCAGATCCTGCACCTGCTATAGGGGTTTATTCTATCCAAGGTACCACACTTTGCATTCATCTTTGCTGAACGCAGTTATGTCTGCTAACTGCTCAAGGTAAAAAATTCCTTCCCAGCAGCAAGCCAAGTGCAGTTAGTTCTTTGCTATACTTTTGTAAACACCAAGCTTCTTGTAATTTAGAAATCCTCTTGGGATGGGAATGGGAAAAGTAATGTAAGTTTACCGAGAATACATTTATTCAGAATWACTTACTCTATTGATTCATATTTCTAAAGATAATAGAATCACGTGATAATATTAAAAAAAGCAATTACAACTGAAAGGGATGGCCTTGAATGTAATTTGAGGGGCCCACTTTAGTCACCTAAGCTCAGGGTGTCTAAAGTGCCAAGGAAGTTATGTAAACTTAGTAAATGATAGTGTTTATTCCACAATTTTCTGGCTGCATGTCCAGAAAAACAAGTTCTTAAGAGGAGCAAGAATGTTCTACATACAACATATGCTGGAGCRTCATTTCAGCTGACCAGAAACTAGACAACATGACTTCTTGATGGAAGTTCTATATTGCTGAACTTCCTGTATGTTCCCCAGAGCTTTACTGAAGGGAAGCTGATAAAAGTATTTCAGACAGTGACAGGTCTGGTAGAAAGGATGTAAAACCTTTATTTTATTTTCAAATACATAATTGTGAGAGAGCTTTAAAAATGTAGGACTAAAAGCTTGATGAGGTAACCATCTCCCCAGTTAAAATCAGATGGCTAAAATAAGTCCACTAATTTAGACCAGTTAATGGCAGGATGGTCTACTTGAGAACAGCTCAGAAAGCTGCAACAATCTGCTAGGTAAGAAGGAGACAATAGAGCACTGCTRAGCTGGAAAACAGTGGGCAACCTAAAAATTATATTGTGCCTGTATTTATGTGAGCATACATATTAAAAAAGGTAAAGTTATAAAAAAAATCACTGAAGTATGTAAAAAAACCAAACTAATATTACTCGAATTGTAATTACTATATTCTAATACTATATCTTGACATAACAAAATGATACTACCAAAACTAGTATTCAAAACAGAAAATAGATTTGTTTTTTATTGCCAGAGGAGTGCTTAAAGGCACAATGTGTAGTTACCAACATAAGAACCAACAYAATGGAAATTTAGATGCAACCAAACAAAATATTTCAAAACACAAACCCATTCTGAATACATCAGAAATCCTTTCTCCTCTATGCTAACTAGAGATGCCTAGTTCCCAGAACACTTGCAAACCCATTTCAGCTTTAGAAAGAAGCTAGCAGMAACTCTTGAAAATTAATGGCTTAATGAGTCCACATATAATGTATGAATGTCAAGAGACTAATAAATGTCATGGGATGCCAACTGAAAAGGTGCCTTCAAAAGTGAATTAATGCACAGGAAACTGACAAGACTTACTAGATGTTTCTGCTATATGTGTGCTGCTGAGTGTGCTGCAAGACAGCTATTTTTAAATGAGACATGTGATGTACCAGAAACATTCCAGCCACTGAAGCATGAAGCTGTGTGTAACCAGTTCACCACATTGTGAGGCTGCAGTACTATATGTGTAATTATCTTTCCAAAATACTGACAAAAAATTCAAATGGTGGGGGAAGCCTTACAGATTTTGTAAGTGTTTCACTACARTTTTTTCTTGAAGTCACCTAACTATACTGTTCGCTTTTGACTGAAGCTCAAACATCTGTGACAGCATTGCAGTATCACTGTTTCAATGAATGCATTTGTACCTTTTAGTTTCATCTGTTCAGTTCTGTTGCTGAGGAAGAGTTAATGCACGATCTGTACTAAATTGCACCAAAGATGTGTTTCAGTCACTTAACGCTCACTGGACAATCATCTGCAAAAGGAATTGATTAAATTAGGATTTTTACAAGTGTTTATGTCAGGACATTTGAGCAATGCCACAACATCTTTCAGATTTKATAAACATCTTTTAATTAAATAATGTCATGAATCAGTACTGAGGTGTAATAAACATTAACAAAAAAAATAAGTGCACTCAAGACAGCATTGTAGGACATGAAATCGATATTGACATACTAACTGTACACAAAACCTTGACAAATCATGTAAATTTACCCATTTTTCAGAGGAAAAGAGATTTTAATTTTTTTTTTAACTCACATGTCAAGAAAAAGTTACTTCATTATGGTTATTTTGAAAAAATCCATTATATAATGTTAAGTTATATAATGCAAAAATTATTTAGGGCTGCAAAGGAAGCATTAGGAATAAACTTGCTGACTTTATGTTAATGATACTTCTAGATTATCTAGGAATATAGAGAAAGCATGACATATAGAACAGCAACATGCAACARCAAGGCATATAAAAAATTTAGGTTGAACGATGAGAATTTTTGGCAGTAGACTCTGTGGCCAAAATTGATGACTAATGTCATTAGCCTTAGGACTTCATGTGCAACTAGGAAAGCTTCTGAATACTCTAAATATGACTATTCTTTAGCTTAGTCTTACAAATGAAACAATGTGATCTCATTCATACAAAGGTAAGCATGCAAACTGCCTGCTTTGAAAGTTGGTGGCAGGGAAAACGGAACAAATAACTTTATTTACAAAAAACAGTACAGAAATAAGTCTACAAAAGTCAAGAAAAAATAGGAAGGTCTCACAGTTAACTTCCACTTCAAATATACCTCTTGCTATACTGTTTAGTCAGTTAATAGTGTTAGTTATACTAGTAACTATTAATAGAAACAGCTATCTTCACTGTGGCCTTTGATATCAGTGATAAAGCAATAAACTACAATATGGATGACAGATGGAAGTTTACAAAGCAATAATGTGGCAATTTGTTTTGCAGCTCCAAAGGCAATTAAAAACAGCACAGCTTCCCAGGGGAAACAGACTAGTTTTCTTTCCTGATGCTACTGTGAGCACAAGAACAGACAACATCACCAAGGAAAATGAAATAAAGCCATCTTCTCAAAAGCATTTGTGTATACCATCAATTTGTATGTTGGGGTTTGTGATTACCTGTAAATACCTGTGAATTAATGAAGTCATATCTTCATAGCACAGTAATATAAAAGCTTAAGTGAAGAATATAGTACTGTTTTGTATTCCCTGAGTTTTACTTTGATCCCTACTTCAAAACAACTTTAGTCTGAACTAATTTTGTATTTCCAAAATACAGTCCAGACTGATCGAGGTTTGATATTTTACAAAAGCCAAAGTAGTCCAAAACAAGAGCCTTTTAACTTAGATGAGCATAAAGTTAGAAGAGAAACAAAGGTGAATGCTAAATTCTATTCTCCTTTAATATTGGCATTCACCAGCCTGAGACTGTGACATGTCAAGATGACCTGATCTAAAAGCCCATACTCTGAAAGTGAGAGATGACAATCCTTTYCCCCTGGTTTTTGTTCTCCGTGCTTCCAAACAGAGGTTGCCAATGCACATTCTTTTTAACTTGCACAAACTCCTGTGTTCTCTGGATTCCTCTGTGAACTCATGTCATATGTCAACTGGCCAGAGAAYAAGTCTATCAAGAAAAAGAAGACTCTCTTCTCTGCTAGGTTAATGAACTGAACTGGCTTGAAGAATTGTTTGATGCGTGCCAGAGGGAAACCAAAGGAATGTGGCCAGGAGCCAYGGATCATGGAGTAAGGTAAGATCTCTGCCATGACAAGGAGGATACAGGAACAAAAGCTATCCCTTTCTGCTTCAGCAAGGCATTCATTTCACRCCATTTTTTTAAATGAAAATACTCATTGTTGCAAACCTGGAAAAAATAGTGATTTTATTTTTATATTGCCATTGCAAAAAGCTGCAAAAAGCTATAAAAAGTAGAAGTGAAATTAGCAAATTTCATTTTAATTAGAGAAAAAAAATCTTAGTGTAAGGCATGACAACCGGGTTTTAAAGCAGCATGTCAAACTTAAGTCTTGCTATTTGTCCTTTCCAGTGACTTGTTCAAGTTCTCAAACGATTTTCTACATTATATCTTTTAAGTATATGTCTCAAGTTACATCACTACAGTTAACCAAACTGGAAAGCTGATCTGGTTGAAAGATAACCAACTGCGGTATTTTTTTGGTATTCAAATATATATGTAATTTTTTTTTAGATTTATTCCAGTATTCAGCTATACAAATGTCTTAGTGTTTGTGATAGGAAAGCAGCAGATAGATTTATTTTGGCAACACTACTGCTCAACATGAGCTCACATGTAGACTTAATTGCTCTCCCACCTAAGTCAGTAAAACTTCAAAAATAATAATATGCTAATGCCATTTTTCAATAGAAATAAGTAGCTAAAATAACTCTAGAACAGAAACAACTATTCAGGATCCCCATATGAAGCACCTGGGATTCCCATGATGCTGCCAAGTTCTGTGATTTGCTGTGTTTGAGTTCTTGTGAAATCACTGTTGCTATTAAAGTTCCCTTCAACATACAGAGGCACTGTGTTCTTCGGCATACTCACCCACTGGTGCAATATAATCCTTGTGAAAGACAAGAAATTTGAAATACTTAGCTGAGCTCTAAATTTACTTCACTCAGGGCTACTGCCAAAGCTTGGTTTCATTTTGAAATAGAGGGAATCCATGCTTTCCAAAGCATTCTCTGAATAGCTACAGGAAAATATGTTTTAGATGCGGATAATCAAGTGCAGAAGTTRCCACCTCAGCATGAAACCTACTCACGTCTTAGGATATATGTCTCAGGAATCACYATCTTATTTGGAACTTCAGCACTATGTTGTAACTGGAATTTGGCACTGAAACTCACTCATTTCACTATTGCAGTGTTGCTCTGCACTCTGGACAGCTGATGCTGTCCTAACCTTGTCTTCCATATGCTTTCCAGACTTGGTGTGTATTGGTTACATCTTTCTTACCCTAGTTAAGAGAACTTCAACCAACCAACCACACATACACATCCTTAACTCCAAACTAACCTATACATTGTGAGAGGGATCTAGGGATTTCAGGTGACTACATTTTTTCAGGGAATTTCAAAAAGGAGTAATTTTCTCCTGTCAGGAGCAAGGATGGCACATCACCTACTCAAGAGSAAAAGGGCAGGCAGGGTGGTTGGCATGACTTAGAACATCCATAACCTCAGCATATTTAAGAAAGGCAAGTAATGCCTTCTACACATTTTAATACTTAATAGGGTTAATACAAAATACATGATGAAGCTATTCTGCAGTAAGTCAAGAATTTTCAGTATCAAAAATAGGAAACATTAATTTCTTGTTTCTGCTATAGAGGCTTTTTTGGTATTTTTTAATGGTAGAACTAGTAATATTAATTATGTGGTAACCATTGCAAAAGTATGCCAGAAAGAACTATTACGTCTTTCAAATGCCAYTTAATATAAAGCCAGCACTTGCTCAATGCCTATATATCCACTCTCCAAGATAAAATAACCTCTACCAACTTTTCCTTGAAAACAAATATTTACAGCAGGTGCATATTATGCAAATTAAATCACTGTCATTTTGTATACAGGGAGAATCCACATCAGCTACACAGATCTGTGTTTGATCTTCTTTAGTAAAGAAGCTACAGAACAATAAAAACTCAGTTTCTAAATATATGATGGTTTTGCCCACAAAGTTTTTAAGTGTGTCCTGTAAGTCATAAATACAGTCTTTATTTTTTTTTTTTTTTAATATATAGTAATTTTTGAGAGAGAAAGTGGATTGTGCATTCCCTGGGTTCTGTTGTAGTTTTGGGCCTATCTCTGCTCAACTGTGTGACAATATTTCTGTAGGAACAACTATAATGAAAAGGTATTAATACRGTGCAGGAGACATCCAGAGTAAAATCTAGCCAGGATACAAGAAACAAAATATGTRTTTCTAAAATGGGAACTTATACACTCAGTCTCTGTATCAGACGTTGCCTATACCCCTCCCATGATTTAACTCAACATGTAACATTTTCTTTTGTGAAGAATTTATACGTATTAGTGGGCTTAGTTTCCATATCTAGGAATACTATTTCCTAATACCCTGGGATGTTGAAGAATTACCTACTTTTTGAAAACTTCTGGTTTCCAAGCATTGAATTATGAAAAACACTTTGTATTTCACATTACTCAAAGTTCAAGAAACAATAACTTAAGTATGTCAATGGCATATCTAAATTAAGTTACCTCTTAAAGCCAGCTGCATCTGAAGCGGTGTAGCCAGCAGGTCAAGGGAGGTGATTCACACCCTCTGCTCTGGTGAGATCCCACCTGGAGTGCTGCATCTGCTGTGGGGTCCCCAACACAGGAAAGATGTGGACCTGTTGGAGCAAGTCCAGAGAAAGGCCACAAAAATTGTTCGAGGGGTGAACATCTCCGAAGAAGGATTGAGGGAGCTGGTTGTTCAGCTGGAGAAAAGAGGACTCCATGAGACTTTTTTGTGGCCTTTCTGTACTTCAAGGGGGCTTTATAGCAAAATGAGGACAGACTTTTCATCAGAGCTTGCTGTGATAGGAAAGGGGGAGCAGTTTTAAATTAAAAGAAGGTAGATTCAGACTACCTGTAAGCAAGAATCCTTTTTTTTTTTTTTTTTTGTGAGCATGGTGAAACACTTGAACAGGTTGCCCAGAAAGGTGGTAGGTGTCCCATCCCTGGGGACATTCAAGGGCAGGGCTCTGAGCAACCTGGTCAGGTTGAAGATGGCCATGTTCTTTGCAGGGGGTTCAGACTAGATGAGTTTTAAAAATCCTTGAAGGACCCAATCCAAACCATTCTTTGATTCTATGATCCATAATCTACTACTAGAAATAAAGGATTACTAATGTCAACTCAGCCAAAACAATAACAGCTGCTAGCACTACCTGGAAACAGATGAAAAGGGCATGGGAAACAATAGAAATTCTTAYGCAGGAATTCCAAACCTTGTGGCATATTTAAACGAAAAAGATAAGGCAACCTGAGGGGTTTTTTTTTCCACAGCCTAAAGTTGGGAAACTTCTAAGTCCTGCTGCTCCCATATCAACCTTCCTTCCAGCTAYGTCCTCTTGTTGCTTTATTCTGCATTGACTCTGGTAGTAATTTAATCATCTTTCATGGAATAACAGATAATGAAACCAGAATTATGGAACAACTTTTTGCTGGATTACCAAGTTGAATTGTTATACTGCACGAGCTAATAAAGACCAGAGATGGTGCAAAGTGGAAAGGTGTAATACTGGAAATGAGGAAGAGAGAAAGAATAACAGTGAGGAAAAACAACAACAGAAACCCACCCCCRTACATCAACAACCTATTGATTAATCTCACCCTATTACAAAATCACCTATTTAAAAGGCTATTTTTATCTTGCAGCCCTTTTATGTGATATACATACATCTGAATAACAATTTACACATTCTGATTTTGCAGAGATTTGCATCCCTTGAGCCCACAAAACAAGCTACCACCTAAAATGCAAGATGACAAGGGACTTTATAATGAATCAGCAAACTATTTTTATTCTGGTGTATTGTGWACACAGCAGCTAAAAATCTGTGTGTTCTTTCGGTGTGGTTGCGTTTTTTTCCTGGTGACTCTTGACCGACACACCGCTATCTGCATTTTCTTCTGTTTGAGAGCACGTTTTACTGGCTCCATATGTAGGGAAAACACGGAACAGTGCTTATGACTAAGTATTCAGAGAGGACAGTTATGATGCCAAAACCTCTAACCTGGGTTAAATGCTGACATGAACCACTGCGGTGTCGTTTTATTAATGCATGAATTGTTGGTCGGGAGAAAGCGACACCACTTACATTTTTCCGTCTTGCAGTAACTGCAGCGGCTCAGGTTTGCAACGAGCGAGAACCGAGGGAGCRGTCCCTGAGCTAGCGCGTCCCATCTCTGACTCCGCCCGCTGCGAGGGTCTGCGGGCGGGGCTCGCCGCATCCCCCACGCAGCTCCCTCCTTCCCTGCTCCCTTCCCGGCCGGAGCTATGGCCTAGCGCTGGACGCGTCCATGCTCCGCGGGCTCTCGGCATGCCGGGCTCCCTTCCTGCCGCTGCTGCGCCCCGGGCTGGCGGCGGGAGCTCCCGCGGGGCGGGGGAAGCGTGTGGGCTCCGGGAGGGACCGCGGGGCC